TTTATGTGTGATCGATACCAAAGCTAGGTTCCGAACCGCCTTCCTCGAGAGATCGACCCGAGGTCGGGAGTCATCCTGTACTCGGTAAAATATAACAATTTGTACACAACAAATTTGGCGCCGTTGCCGGGGAAGGCAAATAGGATATTTGGTTTTGGTATTGATTTATTTTCTGTGTTTCTCTTTATTTTGTGTTTTTCGTATTTTGTTCTTTCTTTTGTGTGTCTTTGTTTTTCTCTTTGTTTCTATTTTTGTCTTTTCTTTTCTTCCTCTTCGTGGCTACGTGTGGTTGTTCTGTTTTGGTGTGCAGGTATGATGAATTTCAACCGTGTGTTTCCCTCACCGCATACCCAGTCTTGGGGTCACGAGCCGAGCTATCACATCGGGTGCTACTACCAGTCATCTCCGTACTCTTCCGAGCAGTGCTGGGATCCCTACACAGTCGAGCAAACTTATGACTCCCACGAGCATAATGAGAAGCTCGACCGGATTCTCGATTTCATAACATCTCAATCAGCTCGAGAAGAAGAGGCCGCATTCAACGAAAAACTCGATCTAATCATGGCTCGAGTAATGGCCCAAGCAAACCGAGAAGGGGAGATTGAGCTCAGATGTGCCCGTTTGAGCGAGCAATTGGAAAGTCTAGCAAGGCGCATCGACTCTATCGAGTCACGAGCCAAAGAGCCCATGGTTGGGGACCCACATCCGGCACTTATACCTTTCGATGAGCTTGAGGATGACACTTCGGGATACAACGCCAAACTTGACCTCATCCTCGATCGTATGATGGCCCAAGCAAACCGAGAAGGGAAGATTGAGCTCGGGTGTGCTCGACTGAGCGCTCAAATGGAGAATCTAACAGCACGTCTCGACTCTATCGAGTTGAAAGTCGACGACTCCCATCTTATGGTTGGTGCCCAAACATGTATTCCGATGCACATGTGTGAGACCAAAGAGCAAGACGATGCTCTCCAGTGGGACGACGATGTTTCGGAGGAGGAGATTCATGGACTTGATCACATCACCATTTCTCGAGTTCCTCCTCCCGCTATCGAGATGGAGCATTCACCTTCGGAACCATTACATTGTGCTACCAAGTGGGCCAGATTTAGCTCGACTTGTTCCACGGATGTGCTCGTTGTCCCTGAGGTTGATGACAGAGCTCAAGTGGGAAAAGCTCTATGTCAGTACTTGGTGATTGTTCGTTCCCGAGACCACTTCATACAGAACATAGCCACCCGGATCCACCGGGCCCGCCTTCTTGCCACATTTCCTATGCTTCCACTGCTAGAGAATACGAAGGCGTGGCATGATCGCCATTTGTTTCTGGATCCTGGTTGATTCATGTACAGATTTCGTCAAGCTAATGACGTAAAACAAGCGCTTCTTGGGAGGCAACCCAAGTGATATTTACCGTTTCTTAGCTAATTTCGTTTATGCATTTTTAGTTTTTATTCTTGAATAATTGGAGTTTTGGGAGTTGTGTGGTTTTTGCTTGTCAGGACCTATCGAGGCTTGGAGCTTGGGCGAAAGGCATGCACTGGATGCTTAGTCTCCTTGAGTCACTCCCGGTTTGCACACCTTTTCTCTTTTTACATTTTTTGAGTGTGTTTCTTCCTTCTGCTTTTCCTTCTTAGTTTGTTTGCTTGTGTTAGCTGCTGGTATTGGTTTATTGCATGAAATTGCTAGTTCTTGTATTTGGCTCCCGGTTTTGTGTTGAAGCAATGAGGACATTGCCTCATTTTAAGTGTGGGGGAGTTTACTTAGATTTGGCATGCTTATGTGGTGAATCAATCTAGTTTTAGTTTTTTTTGTGTGTCTTGTGAGTATGGATATTGGTGAATTTTAAATTTTGTTGATATTTGTTGATGAAGTTGAGGAGATGTGATGTTGATCATGATGGCATATTTTGATGAACTTGATTGGTCGTTTTGATTGGATATTATTTGCCTTGTGAGGTTTGAGCCTTATTCTGTTTCTGTGAGATATGGTCGGAATCATTGGTGATCAGAACTTGCTTTGAGTCTGTTTTGAAATGAAGTGATTGAAGTTGTGATATGTGAAAATGATTGAGGCATTTCTTTGACATAGCTCGTTTTAGCCTTTTTCATTGACCTGGTACTTATATTTTCATTAGTAGCCCGTTGAGCCTGGAACCTTATTTCTTGTCAACCGATTCGATTGAATTATTTGAGATTTGACAGTGTACTTGATATGATGACGGAGCTTTCTAATATATGTTTGGAGAAGGTTGAGAATTTGTTGAGTTGCATTTTAAGTACCCAAAACAAAACATATAAATAAAAAGAAAAAAAAATGGAAACTCGCAAGACGGACTAAAAGGATTCTACTCCGCTTACTTGTGGAATTTTTCACGAGTAATGAGTATTGGGAAACCACTCTAGGAAACTTGGATGACCTCCAACGTTTAAACCTAGAGAATGTCGTCCTTACGTCTCAGTCTTGTTAGGAAAAAGCATATTCTTCAAAAAAAAAAAAAAAAAGAAGAAGAAGAAAGTCATGTACTTTATTTGCAATCTTTGTTGAGCATGTGTGAATGTGTATGGAGCTTTGGTTGGAAGTGATTAGCTTTGTGCTGATTACGGATAGGTGGTGGGGTATTCGAGTATTTATGTGCTCGAAAGTGTGACTATTTATTTGAGCCACTTTATCTTCTTATTTGTCCTTCCTTTGATACCTACATTACAACCCATGAAGCCCTCTTGATTTGCAAATTAACGATCTTTAATTGTTTTAGAGTATGAGCAGACGATAAGCAAGCCTATGTTGAAACTTGATTGCCGACCAATTTGAGCATTCCCATTTCATATTTATGTAAGAAACTGAGTGAGGCATTATACATGATATTTCCGTGTTTGAGAGTTTGTCTTGTCAATGCGTACCATTTAAGTTGTAATTGAGATGTGTTTTATTGGTCTTTTGAAGTCTCCTCGGCTAAGTCAATGAATTTGAAACTTTTCTTATTTGAAACCGATATCCATGCTCGTGTCTTGTTTTCTTTTCTTTTGCTTTTGTTCGGGACGAACAAAGGTTTAAGTGTGGGGGAGTTGTTTGTCCCATTTTTGTTGCGTTTTTTCCTTGTTATTTTCCTTTCTTTTCCCCCATATTAGTTTTTTTAGTTAGTTTTTATCTCGTTTTGTAGTTTATTGCGTGTTTTCCTCTATCTTGGTTTTTCTTGTGTTTTCCGTATGTTTTTTCGGTTTTTCTTGTTTTTGGTGTGCAGGTCAAAAGCCCATGAGGAATAAGTTTAGCTTGAAAAAGGGATGGAAAATCATGGTTAGATAGATGGGTTCGTTGGCTACAAGTAGGAAAAAGCGGAACTCAATTCCGAGTTCAGACGAATCCGAACGGGGTCGAAACGTAAAGTCCAGCAAGCTGCCAACTGTTTGAAGGTTGGAAAACTCTAGAGGATTTGTACTATTGGCAAAATCTGGTCAAGAAAGCATCATTGAATAGAGGGGTTCATTAGCGACGTGTAGGAAAAAACGGAACTCAATTCCGAGTTCGGACGAGCCCAAACGAGCCCAAAACGCAAAAGTCGCGCAGCCGAGCCAGCAGCCCCGCGCGCCGCGGCGCGGCAACCCTCAGCGGCGTGGCACTAACCCCCTCAGCGGCGCGGCAACCTTCAGCGGCGCGGCACTGACCCCCTCCACGGCGCGAAACATCCCCACGCCGCGCCACACACTTCCTCCACGGCGTTAAGCACTCCACGGGCCTTCAGAGAGTGCTGCTTCGCGCGCCACGCCGTGCTACCCCTGCCGCGTCGCGCCACATGGATGCTACGCGCCGTGTCACTATTTCTCACGCCGTGAAGACCTGCTCCTATATATATTTGCATCGGGATTTCGACAGAATTAATCTCCCCGCTTGGGAGTAAAAACCCTAGGCTCGATAACTCCACGACAGAACTCCTATCTTTGCTTCTTCTTCTTCGTTTTTCCTTTTCTTTACACCTTTATTTTCCATTTTTCTTCTTCTTCTCTACATCTAAGGATTAAGCTTGTATTTCAAATTCAACTTGGGAACTTGGATTGGTTGTAAGTACTCACTTCTCTTATTTAATTCATGAATAATGGTTATTTGAGAGGAATGATTATGATTGTTGAATTTGATATTCGTAGCTAAATCTGATAGCTAGGGATAGGGGATGATTATTCTTGTTTAACGTGCATTTGTCGGGCTCAAGTTTGTTCATGCTTATGTGAGTTGAATTGATTAGGGATTGATGAATTTGCGCTTGATAGTTTGATATAATCGAAGGGTGACACTTCGATCATGCAATTGGTAACGATTGAATATTGATTTGTCGAGTTAGGATTTGTTGATTCCATATGATTAGTTGATTAAACACCTTCTAATTGAATTAGCGGCTTTTAGAACCGAAAGGGGAGAAGTCGTAGACCTAGGCTCGCATGAGATAGATGATTTCATAGCTGAATAATCTATGGGTTGAGATTGAAATACGTGCTTGTCGATGACCCGTCCCTTGTTACGAAAAGTTATTGGGACTGGGATAATTGGCCTGTGTTGTATGCTCGAGATTGTTCGTCTATGTTCAATCCCTTGTTACGAAAAGTTATTGGGAGCGAACCGCTAGATGTTTAAGCGAGAGTGTCAATCTCGAACCGAACAATTGACTGTCCGGCTTTGCTAGAACTTGAATTAATTATCCCCGACTCCCTAGCTTCTCCATCTTTGTTTCGTTTATATTTTTAGGTATATTATTGTTTTTATATTATTTCTTAGCTGGTAATTATTCAATCCTTATCTGATTAGAGTGTGTAGGATTTATTTTCTTTTTATGTGTGATCGATACCAAAGCTAGGTTCCGAACCGCCTTCCTCGAGAAATCGACCCGAGGTCGGGAGTGATCCTGTACTCGATAAAATATAACAATTTGTACACAACATTGCCAACTGCTAAGTGTATCTCGCCCGCGAGCTTGCTGTCTCGATCGGGTGTGCGGTCTCACACGTACGCGCTATCTCGAGCAGACGTGCTGCTTCGCGCGAGCGCACTGCCTTGCGCATGCGCGGATTTCTCGCGCGCGCACCAGGCTCGCCTATTGCCCGATCATGTCTCGCGCTTGCTGTTGCATGCCTCAACATCCACACGAGCCTCTCTCTTCTGTGCACGATATGCTTGACAATATGCATTATTCTGCCTTCTACCTTCATTCACATCAAAGTGCCTGCATGCAGTGCTCCCAGTGATACTTACTACCAGCGGGCTGTCTCACGGCTCGCGAGTCCCTCATATTCTTATACGCGCCCAGCGAACACGCCCGCAACTCACGAGTGATGACATTCATGCCATCCACCTTGCGAATTCCATCAGTAGCTCATGAGTGTGCTCATTTAGAGTGTTTTTTAGTGTGTGTTTTGGCATGGGGTATACATCCATTTTGTCATTTGTATTTTGAAAAGAATGCTTCATTTGCAAAATTTCTCTTTTTAGTTTTTTTCTCTCCCTCTCTTTGTAATTTTCTCACTTGGAAAATTAAAGGCCCTAAGACCCAATTTTTAGTATTTTACTTCTTCGTCAAGATTGCTACTTTATTCTTCTCGTGGATGCTTCTAGAGACTTAGAGACTTAGTTTAAGGTTCAAGATTTTGTAAGTTTTTCTTGTCTGTACTTGATAAATTTTCTTGGGTAAAGGTAAAAGCTTTAATGAGTAGAATAGGCTATCATCCTCGAAGGCTCGGAATTATGTGATTTGTTGTTGATTGTGTGAGCAAGAATTAATTGATAGCCCGATTAGTTCATCGCGAGCGATGATTGCTTGATTACATGCTTTCAAACCTTTGAGTGTCTTCTTTCCACCTATGGTCTTAGGGTTCATAGTCCATTTCTCTTGATTTCCCTTTTTATTGCGAATTGAGGATTTTCGTGCGTTGAAGTTTGAGTCTTCTTTTCATTCATGCCCTCAATTGCGTTCACTTTAACTTAAACAAACAACAAAATTGCGAGTAAAATGTTTAGAACATTTATTTTTCCTTTTTGTGAATCAATCATTGTTTGAATCCAATTCCAAACAACATTCCTTTGAGAGACGACCCGATGTTAGTCTTTACAATCTTACTCGACAAAAACACAACAAACAGGACATCATGCTCTATTGATGGTTGTCAAACTCAGTAATGTGGAAAATGGGAGAAGGCAAGTGCGCATGTGTATGGACTTCAGAGATCTCAACAAAACACGCCTAAGAACCACTACCCGCTGTCGGACATAGAGCCACTCAAAAATTGATAAAAACTTTTAAATATATTTATAATTTAAGCTAGTAAAAGGTTGCTTGGATATAGGATATCCAAAAAAATATCAATCACTTCTAACCTATCATTTTTTTAAATCAACTTTAACCCCAACTCCACAATCATAATTATAATTAAATAATATCAATCAATCATTCTTACACATTACATCAACTTTGATTTATTATTCAATCACACACATAATTTTAACTAACCATCACTTCACATCATCTATTTTCTACTTATACATCAAATTAACTTTAATTAATTTTAAATATTAATTTAATATAAATTCAAAATTCCACTAACAAGTAACTATATAACATTTTTCAAAATTAACCAAACCAAACTAAAAAAATCGAAACAAAACCAAATCATCTTATATCTAAGCATCCACTGAAGTGTTTTATGATTCTTAAAGATTAATATACATGGACTACTTTGAAGTATAAGAAATTTGACATACAAAGCACCAGAATCCGATACATAAATTATGAGCAACAGAAGTCGACACGTATGATCGAGACACTCTACATTTATATTTGGGGGATAACTTATCAATCTATTTACTAAACCCGAAAGAGCCACTACGAAAATAACGATGCATTTATAATATTGTGAAAGTACTTTTAGACATGATTTGTCCCCTTACAACTAGACGTGGCTACAATTCGAACCGGCTCTAAACCAGTCTGGAACTGGTCCAGTCAAAATTGTTGATCGTGGGCCTTGACTGGCTCGTGGTTTTACCCAAGTCTGTTCAGATTCATGCTATTTAATAAAATTGAACTGTTGGTTCAGGTTTCGAACAGGAACAGGAACTGAAACTGGTGGTTCAAAACTGGAATCCTAATTTAAAAAAATAAATAAATTATTTTTTATTTTTTCTTATTTTTTATATTTTATTTATAATTTCTCGAATTGACCTTGAGCCTTCAGGCCGTTTCTGAACTGAGACCGTTGGTCAGCGGCGGATGCAGAATTTTTTACCAGCCAGGGCAATATGAAAAAATAAATACTTAAAATTTTTTAAATAATTCACTTTAATTTTGATAAAAAAAAAAAACAAAAACAATACAAAACAAAAGGTGCAATTTCAATCAAGATAAGAATTCTATAAAATAAGAAAACCCAATTGTAATTTGAAGCTCGCCATCTCATTCATTTTAATTGGCAATTATAATTCTACAAACTCTAATCTCTAATCTCTGTTTATTTCTGTTACCAGGTCCAACATGGCTTTTCAAGTTTCATCATTTTGAAATCAAAACAATAGAAAGCAAAAGGTGCAATGCCATCAGTTAATGAAAACAAAAGCAAAAGTCAAAGATGTCTTCACACCTCAGTGAATGAAATTGCCAATTAAAATGAATACATGAATACCAGGTCTAGCAATTAGCATAAAAATCTCGATTGCTACTCAAATAAATACAACGAAAAACAAGAAAAAACAGGTTGAAAATCCAAATAGAGAAGGAATTATCAATTATAGGCTCACCTTGGTAATTCCTTGAGAAGTGATTTTCTTTTCGATTTTATGTATGCCTGGTTCACAAAAAGCGGAAGAATCAAAGATGACGGAAGAAGATGAGATATCGGTAGTGCTGGGCGACCAATTTTGACATTGGGGAACTAGTGAAGGTTAGATTTTTTTTTTCTTCGTGTTTGCGTGCGTAATGGGGCAGAAATCAGGTTTTTTTTTTTTACTTATTAAGACCAAAACGACGTCGTTTTGGCTTTCAATTTTTAAATTAAATGGAAACAAAAAACGACGTCGTTTTATAGGATTATTAAAAAAACCTTGTCTACTCCATCAGTCGTCTTCTTCCCTGCCCTCCCTACATGCACAAGCTCTATTAAAAATTGTAAATAGCAGCAAAAATTGAGCATGGACAGTTCCTAATGTAAATCCGCCCTTGTCGTCGGTTCATTGAATCGACCATTAGTCATTCCCGGGTCAATTCGATTCACCAAATGACGAACCGAAACCAGGGATTCCAAACCGGAACTGGTCTGGAACTAGATTTTCGGCACATCTACTTACAACAGGTAAATGCGGTAAATTATATACAACGTGTGTGTATATATAATATAATTAAAAATAACATAAGACATTATTTTTATTTTGTTTCCAAAAAAATAACATAACACATCAACTCGTACATAACTTTTGTATGCAATCATTCCATACTTGGTAAAAAAAATCCGTAATATCCATCAGTATTAAATCGTACATAATTTTTGTATGACAATCATTCCAAGGTTATCTTTAATATCCATCAACCCCGGTAATTCATAAAATAAAAAATTAATCCATAGAAAAAAAAAATATATCTTCTAAAATAAGTTTTCATTAAAGGAGAAGTTTACCAAACCGTCCTTACCCACCTGATCACACAAAAGCCAATTCTCAATAACAGATAGCGGAGCAAGTTGTCCAGTCGGGTCGGATCTTGAAAAACCATCGCAATGAATTGATGAAATTTCCAAATTAGACCCAAACAGGGCCTCATAATCAATATTGCTTTTGGCCTCATTTTGAGCATCTGAAGATAATCTTTCTTCCATTGGTGTTGGTGGGGTATTTTTCATCCAATCTTTCAACAGCCTTTCTATATTCTGGGTGCTATAAGCGTAATTTGAAGCTGCCGGTTGGGCATAGGCATCATTAGCGGGCGAGATCGAGTATGGATCTTCCGAGTAGTACTGACCCGACCCGTTTCCCACCAACTTGAGCTTCTTCTTCAGATGGGTATTCCAGTAATTTTTTATGTCGTTGTCGGTTCGTTCAGGAAGATAAGAAGCTATGGCGGCCCATCTGCACACAACCATCATCACATAAATATTTATTTATTAAGCCTGAACTATCTTTTTTAAAAAAAAAAAAATAAAAAAAAAATTAAATGTCTTGAAAAATAGTCATAAATATATATAAGGAAAATGTCATTTTTGGAGTTTTATCAACAGTATGTTTTTGTAAGTAATAGTGAGCTGATCATTGGAGAAGTCTAATTATCTGGGAGATAATGAATTACAGCAGCTAATTGTAGACTTTTAGTTATGAAGGAGAATATTTAATTTACAGAGGAAAAAAGGAGGGAAATATTAATTAATGAGTACTTGTTCCCCAAAAGAGCTTGAAGCTGGATAATCATCTTCTCTTCGTGATCAGTAAAAGTGCCCCTCTTAATTCCAGGCCTCAGATAATTAGTCCATCTCAGCCTGCAACTTTTACTGCATCGTCTCAGCCCTGCTATCAATTTTACAACAACAATTGTAAGATAAAATTAACAAATACTTACTGAAGCTTGGCCTAGGTAATTATACTCATAACATATTTTCTTTATACACACTGCATTTTGGATTGAATGATTAAAAAATTAACTTCAAGTGTAATCACTTAAATGATACCTTAAAATTAGTCATTATCAATTGATATAATCTCCGCTTATAAGATCCTTAATTTGAGAAATCAATTAGCTCAGAAACACAAATTGCAAGAATGCTCATAGGAGTTAGCTAAAGAACTGGAAAAAATAAGAAGAAATTAAAAATAGTGAAGAAATTAAAAATAGTGCACCTGTTTTTGTAGGAACAGCCCTCCAATTTCCAGGGCCATTTTCTTCAACATATGAAATTAATAAGGTATCCTCTTGAGGAGTCCATGGCCCCTTTTTCACTCCAACTTTATCACAGCATGGTGGCCTCCCCATGTCCTTTCCTTAAAATTTAGTGTTATAACGAAAAATAAGATGGATTCTAGTTTTTTTGTCTCTTTTAAAAGGGATAATAATCTTAGGAGGGACCTCAAATTGTTGGATCCCAGCTTATATAACAAAAAGTGACACGTATTGTTATATAGCGTTTCACTAAATGTTGACACTGACCTTAGAAACAAAAGACTAAAAGAAGAAGAAAGAAAAAACAGGAAAATGATTCAGAAAGTTGGCAGGGGTTTGCACAGTTGCTTCTTAGTGGATTCTCCTAAGGTCAACTACGAATGGTTTAGTTTCAGTTTCAGTAATGTGGCTTAATATGGTAATCTTGATCATTTTAAACATATAATTCATCCGTTTTCAAGTGGCAAGAAAAGGCTCATTAAAATGTTTCCATCCAATTGAATGTAACTGGAAGATTACCATCTTCAAGTAAGAGTTGCACAAACTCACGACTTGAAACACGTTACAAAACTTAAAATTTGTATAGATAACCTACAGATTGAATTCTTGAGGTTTAGATTCTTTGTTTAAGATATGCTTAGAAGGAATTCTCTCAAATCGGTTGCGAAAATTAACTTGTCGTGGATCGGCATTCGCTTAAGATATCTTGTCTTTATATCGGTTGTTGAAACGTATTGTTTGAGATCAACACTAAATCTATGCCAGTTTCGTCTTTCAAAAAAATATGATGTCCGCGTGTTGAATGTAAAATAGATTGTGAGGATGTGGATCGACATAGGCCCTCAGGTTTTAGAGATTTAATGTATATTGGTCATAAAAAGCAGAAAGTTGTCCTAAAGAACAGATTGCCAATGTAGTTGGACAAAACAGTCGGCAAAAAGAGCTCGATATAGTTTGACACGTGTAGAAGGAAAGTATCACTTGCTCAGGGGACTTGTCTAGATAGAGACGTGGTAAGTTAAGAAATGTGCTCTGATGGGATTTCATACCTAATAAGGACTCTCTTAGGGATCAAGAAAACTATCTTGTATAAGGGTGTCAGATTTTACTTTATTAAGATATCACATTATAACGCCTTAAGCCATATATTCTTCCATTTATCATTGATTGAGCAAGTTATGACTTGAGCATCGGAGCTTTTCCGTCAAGACCCCCTCCCAGCGTTTTGCAGGTCACCAGAGCTCAAAGGAGTAAAAAATTCACGGCGTTGGCGAATTAATCCAGTTCGAAATCAAAATGACACAACAACAATATCAATTTTCGAATCATTGTGTAGGTGTTTATCTTGAAATTTCTTCAATCGCCCAATTAATTTTGATACAAGAAAGCTATAATCATGCTCTATGTTTATTTTTCAACACTTCATCCTCAGGGTCTTGCCAATGTTCAGGGTCTATTCCTTGGCATTATTCACACTCAACTATTATATTGTGTAAAATTATGCAAGTTCTAATGATTTTCTATGATCATTCGGATTCCACATAAGCGCAGGACCTCTTATAATATGTCATCTACATTGCAATACTATGAATCCTCTCTCCACATCATTCATTATACCCTCTAGATGTTTTGCAAAAATCTTCTCATTCATGCAAGATAGTTTGGAAATGGACTGAATTAAAGTAGCCAGTAAATCACATTCGACAAGTAATAACCCATATTATGATCGTGGCCATTTATAGTAAAGTTACACGGGGGCATCACCTCATTAATGATACCATCAATAATAGAGAGTGGTCTAAAACCGAAATGTCATTGTTCGTACTAGCCATCCCGAAGAATGTATGTCAAATCCGTAAGTTCTTTGATGCAACAATCTCAAAAACTTGCGTAGGAACCCTTTTGAACCCATTAGTATGAATTCAATGCCAAGTTGTATGGCAATTTTTCCAATGCATGCAGTCCAAACATCCAAGCATACCAAGCCTCGTCTTCTTTGAGCAATAAATAGCTATCATTTTTATTCAATTTTCTCAAATAGTAGCCTCCAAAAATCTCAATTCCAGCATCACGGAAATGTTTTAGACTGTCAATTGCAGTGCTCTCTCCATTTTGAACGTGTTCATTTAGTAAATCAGCTGCACAATCATATGCAAGAATACGCAATGTCGCTATCATTCTTTTTGTAAAGAACTAATGGCATGGTTGGTAGGAAGGAGTGACATGGGAATGGAATGATCATTCCCTTACTCATTCCACCCATGATTGGTATATTTTTTGGGAAGGAATGACCATTCCAATGGGAATGGCAAAACCTATCTCCATGGGATTAGCCATTTCATAGTAAATAGAAGGTTTTCTCATTCCCATGTGTGTAGGAATCAAGTTTTCAAAAAATAAAATTAACAAATAATAATAATAAATAAATATATAATATATATTATAAATCATGATTAAAATATATTAAATAAAATTATTTTTAAAAAAAAATTCAAATAAAAAAATTGAAAACTTACTTTTATTTATTTTTTAATTAGATATATTAAATACTTATATAAAAATAAAACTAAAAAAAAAGCATTGATATATAATTTAAAAATATATTATTTTATTTCTTTATATATTATTAAAAATATATGTTTATAAAAAATATATTACTTTATTTTTAATTATTATTCAAAATATATTATTTTAAAAAAATAAAATTCAAATAAAAAATTGAAAACTTACTTTTATTTACTGTTTAATTAAAAAATAAAATACATATTATTAAAAATATATTACTTTTTATTTTTAAATATTATGAAAAATATATTACTTTTTATATATAATTTAAAAATATATTATTTTATTTTTATATATTATTAAAAAGGCATTTATATATAATTTATTAAGAGTATATTATTTTTTAAAAAAAGCCTTTATTTATTTTTATAATAAAAAATGATAATGTCATTCAATTCCAGTCATATTCCTTCTGTATCAAACGCATCAATGACAAAACATGTTTCATTCTATTCTCATAATTATTTCATTCTTCAATTCATTCCATTCCAACGAAATTTCATTTCATCATACCAATCATGCCATAAGTCCTTAATTACCAACCGCATCAACTTTTTGTGTGAAATAATTATCAAATTTTTGAATCTCACCTAAAATGCAGTCAAATTAGTTTTATATCCACCCGAAATTGACGTCTGACTTGTTCAAATGTATGTTGTGATATCTCACGGTGTAGGTTTTGATCTCACTGCTAAAGTAGTTACTAATTATTAATTCATGGCGTTCTTTTCTTTCACGTCAAATGTAACATCTTCCAAGCTATGTCTTCGTGCCTACCCTTTGTCAATAGAAAAGAAACATGAAGTATGGCCTGAAGCATACTATGCGCCGAATATGTGTTCGAAATACCTTCGTCCATGGGTTCATCTAATAGTTTTCTCGTAACAAAAAATTCTTTGATCTAATAGTTTTCTGCAACAAAAAATTCTCTGTCGCTTGACGATCAGTTGTTAGAGTTTGCTTCTTAATTTAGTGTTAGAGTTCATCTTATATTTATCTCAATTGATTAATATATTTTCTGCAACAAAAAATTCTCTGTCGCTTGACGATGAGCTATTAGAGTTTGCTTCTTAATTTAGTGTTAGAGTTCATCTTATATTTATCTCAATTGATTAATATATGTGGGAAATATTAAGGTCCCGTTATGGTACCATCCCGTCAGTAGTTTTAACCGTTGGATGCACATGTAGTTAGTATAATATAGATGATCCAACGGTTAAAACATCCGACGGGATAGTACCGTAACGCTCGATTTCTCTCTCTTGAGAGTGGTTCTTTCTCTCTCTTGAGAGTGGTTTGATTCTCGTTTTCGAGAGGGTTATCGTCTTCCTGGGAGTGATCATTTCTTCGCAGGGAGAGTGTGGGTTGAGTGGTGTGAGGTTTTGTGTCCTTTCTTTGTTATCTAATTTTGGGGTGGGTTTAGGGTTTTGGCTGTAAGCCTGGCATTTAGGGATTTAGTGGAGGTCTGTCATGGAAAAAGACAACGATGCTTTGGAGTCTCTGATGGAGAAATTCTCCATGTCGGAGAATGAAATATCTTACATTGATATCGAAGACCAAGATGTTCGGACCAGTGCTGAGGAATGTAGGAGGAGTCTCTTTGGCAAAATCGCAGGGGAGAAGAGAGCCAACTGGATTGACATAAGAAGAGCAATGGCCCACGCATGGAAGGTAGGCAATTCATTGGAGGTGCGAGAACTAGAAGATAATTTTTTTCAGTTTATTTTTCAATCAATAAGTGACAAGAAAAAGGTTGATCTGAATAGAAACTGGGTTTTTCACAACCAATACCTAATCTTGCAAGACTGAAAGGTAGGTCTAAAAAGTAATGATGAGGGTTTTGACAACCTAAACCTATGGATCCAAGTCCATAATGTCCCTCTGAATTGGATAAGTACAGAGGTAGGGTTGAAGCTTAAGAGAATGTTCAAAGGGATCAAGAATGATCATATTCCTAGAATTGGGAACCAGGGAAGAAGAATATTAAGGATTTGGGCTACACTCAATCTCAAAGACCCAATTCCAAGATGGACAAATATCAGGTTGGGTGATGATGTTGTTTTGGTTCAGTTCAAATATGAAAAGCTGATAAATCTATGCTATTACATAGGAGGATTGGACACTTGGACAAAAACTGCAGCAAGAAGATCATGGATATTGAGAAGAATGAAATGAAAGGAGGCCAATATGGGGAATGGGTTAAAGCAGCAGAAGGAGTCCATTGGTCAGAGTCTCCAAACCCCAGCAATCAAACACCACCAGAGGAGCCAAATGATGGAGGGAACACTGTTTATGGCAGCTCATATAGAAATGAAGAAGGTGAGAGGGGATCATCCAATAAAGTAGAGGAAAGATAGGTTCAACTTCATAACACCAATGAGTTTCAGATGCAGCAAGTACAAGCTGAAACACCAGTGAGGCATGAAGACATTGAGGCAATCACCCAGCATCCAAATGATGAGCCACTCAACACAGTGACAGAAATAGTTCCATCTGAGGAAATCAAGGAGAAAGCAAAGGCAATGATGATGTGTGAAGATCAAAGGGACCCCGGGCAGACTGTTGCTCTGCTCACACAGCCAATAACATGGAAAAGAAAGACAGACAAATCAGGCAGACTACAAAGGAATAAGGTGTCTGAGGTAGCTCAAGCCTTTCAAGGGGAGAGGAAAAGATCTGCAACTGACTTGATCATATACCAACACCAAACCGAAGAGATTAAGGAAAATCCAGAAGAAAGAAGAAAGCTAAAACTCAGTCCAAATTGGTGGAGGTAGCCAACCAAAAGTGGCTCCACCCTTCCTAATGAGAGCTATGGTGTGGAACTGTAGAGGGCTGGGTGGGCCCCCCACAGTTCCCCAATTGCGAGAGTCTTTGAAGACTCACCATCCAGATTTTGTGTTCTTATCTGAGGTAAAAAAACAAAAAGATGTTGTGGCTAGGGTCTGTAAATCCTTGGGTTTTGAAGAAAAATGGTTTTACTGGGAGCCTGATGGCACTAAGGGAGGGCTTCTATTTTGTTGGGGAAAGGAATGTGAAATTTTACAAATCAAAAGTCAGATATTCTGTATCCAAGTCCAGTTCAAGAAACAGCCAAGGGATAGAGTGGAGTGGATCAACTTTGTGTATATGAGCACAGTTAAACAAGAGAGAGAACAACAGTGGTTTTTCTTACAGGAGGAAAAGGACCAATAGGGAGAGGACTGGGTGGTCATAAGAGATTGGAATGATATCAGTTGCAAGGAGGAAAAGAAGGGTGGCATTGTGAAAAGTGAGAAGAGTTTTGAAAAGTTTAATTATTTCATTGCTCAGATAGGCATGTCTCTAATCAGAATAGAGGGATATAGCTTTACTTGGGGGAACAATAGAGAAGAGGAGGGATATGTGGAGGAAGTCCTTGACAAGGGGTTTGGATCATTAAGCTGGGTGAATGCATATCCTCAGGAAAAAATTTCTCATATTTTTCAAAGCTCATCTGATCATGGCATGTTGCTGCTGCATAGTGAGCCTGAGGTCAAGCAACACAAAACAAGATTTGTCTTTGATAAAAGGTGGGTTCAAAGGGGAGAAATTAAGGAAGTGGTCAACGCAGCATGGAGAGAAGCAGAGTCTGGTACTCCTTTCTTTATTCTGAAAGAGAAAGTCAAGAAAACTAGGCTGGCCTTATGCAAATGGAGCAGAAGTTTCAGGGCTGAGCAGAAGGGTAACATTGAGAGGTTGACACTATCGTTAGAAGAAATGAGGAAGCTAGGAGAGGGAAGAAATTGGGAAGAATGGAAATCTATCCAAGCAGAACTTGATGCAGCCTTAATGTCAGAAGAAAAGTTTTGGAAATAGAAGTCAAGAATTATGTGGCTTAGAGAGGGGGACCGCAATACCAAATTCTTCCATGCAATGACTGTACACAGAAGAAGAAAGAATGCCATAACAAGATTGGTGGAAGGCAGAAGAACTTTTGAAACTAAGGAGGCCACAGAGGAACATGTGATCGACTTCTATGAAAAGTTGTTCACCTCTGAAGGTTCCAGTGAAGAAGAAGAGGCCGTAAGTAACATTCACCCAATCATTACTCAAGCTATGAATGAAGAAATAGTTAAAGTTGTGGATAAGGCTGAGATTAAAGGTGCTTTGTTCCAGATGAACCCTCTCAAGGCTCCTGGTGAAGATGGAATGACTGCCCTCTTTTATCAACATTTCTGGCCTGTGCTTGAGGATGATGTTTTCACTGCTGTGACTACTTTTTTTTAATCGGGCCAAATCATAAGGTACTAGAACCAAACCTTGATGTAATCAGGCCAAATCCTCAGGTACTGGAACCAAACCTTGTTGCTCCTACTTCTTTGAGTCAATACAGGCCAATAAGCTTGTGTGGAGTAGTGTACAAAATAATCTCTAAAATCTTGGCTTCTAGATTGAAATGTTATTTTGATGTTTGTGTACACCCTGCTCAAGCTGCCTTTATACCTGGAAGACAACTGATGGACAATATTATAATAGCCCAGGAGACTTTTCATTATCTTATTAGACACAGAAATGGACCCCATTGTTCTATGGCTCTGAAGTTAGACATGCTAAAAGCTTATGACAGAGTGGAGTGGGGGTGTGTGAAGAAAACAATGGAGAAGATGGGCTTTGCTGCTGTCTTTATTATGTGGGTTATGGCCTGTATAACAACTTCATCTTTCTCTTTTCTGGTTAATGGCAAGGCTGTGGGACATGTCATTCCAACTAGGGGGTTGAGGCAGAATGACCCAATTTCACCCTATCTCTTCCTCTTGGTTTCTGAGATCTTTTCATCTCTTATTCAGTTAGCAGCAGAGAGAAGTCATTTCAGAGGACTGAGAATTACTAAAGAGTGTCCAACCATTACACACTTACTGTTTGTTGATGACTCATTGGTATTCTGCAAGGCTGACCAAGAGCAAGCTCTGAAACTGATTCATATTTTGCAAACCTACCATAACTTCTCTGGCCAAAGAGTCAACATGTCAAAATCCACTGTCTTCTTTAGCAGGAATACACCTCAATCTACCAAGCAGACCCTTTGTTCCCTACTAGCAAGTGTTCAAGCCCATAATTCTACCAGGTACCTGGGACTGCCCTTAGGGATTGGGAAATCTAAGAAGGAGGATTTTGATTTCATTCTTCAGGCAGTGAGAAAGAGACTGATAAGATGGCAGAACTCATACCTATCAACTGCTGGAAAAGAGGTACTGGTCAAAGCTGTTATTAATGCCTTGCCAGTGTTTGCTATGAGTTGTTTAAGCTGCCTGTGTATATCTGTCAAGAGCTTCTTTCTGGTGGAGTAAAGCCACCAAGCTAGAGAAAGGGATTCACTGGAAACAATGGAAGAAGTTAACTGTGCCAAAGTCAAATGGCGGGTTGGGATTCCTTGATTACAAGCTTGTTAATGAAGCATTGATCCTAAAACAGCTTTGGAGACTTACAACTCACCCTGAACTTCTGGTGAGCAGATTGATCAAAGCTAGATATTACCCCTCAACCTTCATCTTTGAAGCCAAAAGAACAAGCTCAGCTTCATGGCTCTGGAACAACTGGGTAGATGTTATTCCTATTTTAGCCAAGGGACTGTGCAGGGAAGTTAGAAATGGCATGGAAACAAAGATCAGTGACCACAGCTGGGTTCCAAAACTTCACCATGTGAGCCCAAGACCTCTGGGAACTAAGCAAACATCTTTGCACTGGGTTAATGACTTGATTAATGATGGTGGGAGGAGCTGGAACACTTATATCCTCACTGAAGTGTTTTCAGAAAATGGCAGAAGGGCAATTCTAGATGTTGACACACTGAATCCTGAGCTACCTGATAGATGGAGATGGAATCTGGACAAGCAAGGAAGATTCCCCAGTATTTGTGTGCAGTTTTTTATTTCGGATGTTTGTTATCAGTGTTGCAAGAACATTGTACTTCGTTTTTATTGATATGTAGAGCTTTCTATCGCTTGGAAAAAAAAAAAAAAAAAAAAAAAAAAAAGAAAAGAGATAGTACCGTAACGGGACCATAGCATTCCCCAATATATGTAGTCATTTAACAACTCAATTGCTAGAATTGAATTTCACATTCCCACTTTAACGAGGGGTTCCTATTGGATCGACCGTTATAATCACAAATCTTACAATTAATATACCTATCCAAATATCTCTGCAGAAAAAATCCAAACTGTTATGAAATAATAATGTATGTGAATGACTATTTTGCCCTCGATGTATTTGTATTATTACGAGTTATGCCATCAGAAGTTTCCTATAAATAGGACCTTCAGTTATAATGAAAATCGTACCTAAGAGAATACATTTTCTCTATTCTCTCTCTTTCTCTCTAGTTTTATAACACGTTATCAGCACGAGTCTCTACCCTTCAGAGCTCGATTTGTAATATGACGAGAGTATGCTCTACATTTGCGTCTTATAGATGATCTTCTGTATCAGAAATCGAAATATTACAAAATTATTATTTTCCTTCAAACAATTTGAAGCCATAAGCTCTTAAGCTCCCCATGCCATTACTGATCATTAGCTATCCAAAACAATCTAAAATGCTAAAAAGCTCTTTTCATTTCCACTTACACGGTCATACAGTGAGAGAGAAAGAAATGTAAAAGTTTGTTCTACTTATACAAATGAGAATTTTTCTACTCCGAAGCTCGCAGAACTTAACAATGGAGGACGAGAAACATACTCTCTTGATTTGTGAAGGATGACAAGAGGTACAGAGGTGTAGCTGTTAGTGTTCTTCAGACCCTGGTTTCACTATTTCAAGAAGAAGGTAAAATCTTCACTTGAATATTTTATATCATGGGTAGTTTATTTAATAATAGTAATAATACTTTTGAGAGTAGTAAATCAAAGAATGCATAAAATTGAGAACATTGAAAATGTTGAATACAAAGAGAAAAATGGTGTAGGCAGGTTTACAAATGATTCAATGCCTTAGTATCCAATTGCTACCTGATTGGTGAGGAATGAAAAGTCTGATTCAATGTATTTGATTAAAATGAATAGTGCCTCATTTAATGTGTTTGATTGATTATTAAAAGAGGGTCCTTCACTAGTTGTCCATTAATGCCATGAGGAAAGATACACAAAATGAGATATGGAAAATGACATGTGATGACTAATGTCCGCAACAAACAAAACAATGGAGTATGGACATTTTATGTCAAACAAATCATGAAAAATCAATATAACACTCCAATTATTCATTGAGCTTCAAATAGTTTTTTCTCGAATACAAAAGCATACATTATCAAAATTAGAAATTTACAAATTCATAATATTTCATTTAAATAGAGCTTCGATTTAAGACCAATATTGATATGATTTATTGAATTATATTAATATATATTGTCATTATGAACTGTTGATTTTCTTCTATTGAGAAAATTATTTGGTACATGAACGTGCGAATATTTATGGATTGACCCTTGTGATATGAAAAGAAATATGTGTGGCTATATGGATCAGCCAGTGCGGCTCTGCCGCCGGCAAGTAATATTTAATGGTAACCAACGGGTCAATTATTGATCAAAAATATTATAAAGAAATATGACCGATCATATGAAATGGCCAAGTGTTGCAGCCACCAGCAACAGATAATATTGAACGGCTAAATGGATCAGTCAGTATATTAATGATAACCGGTGATATAGAATGGCCAGGTGGCAACGCCACGTGCAACAAATGAATGGCTATACATATACATGGGTCGGCCAGTGCGGCACTGCCGCCGGCGATGGGCAGTACAAATTAAGTGATAGCCAATGAGTGAAATTAATGATACTTTGTATCTGACCATGTGAAAGTTAATTAAAGTCCTTGTCATGAACAGACATTATATGGACTAACCTGGTCCTGAAGTATCAGTTGATAAATTCTCCAAATTTATGGAGATATGAATATTGATGAGATGGTACTATAAGTTACCACATGATTAATGTGATGTCGGAAGTTATGGCATAATGATTAAATGATATCATGGTATAGTAGTACTGGATGCTACCACTTTATGATTAAACAAAGTGATGAAATGGTACTAGAAGCTACCATTGGATGATTGAACAAAATGAGAAAGTGGTATCAAAAGCTACCAGCTATGGGTGATCACACAAAAATGATTTCTCAATATATTATATAAGTCTAAGGGGCTATATCAGATGACGAGATCACATTGGGATACGAGATCATACAGATATTACAATAAAGTGCTCCGGAAGAAGCACAAATGATAATGATTGTAGTCATGAACTACTATACACTGAGAAAAATCGAAATTGATATTATTATTACTGAGAAACAAGTACAAAATGTTCAGATGGTGGAAATATGGAAAAGAGGCAGTAAATACTCGATGAATACAAAATACGCAAAGATTACATAATAGAACCCATAAAAGAAGGGTGCGTCTCGAGAGTGTAAAACTCCGTAACTCTGCCACCCATGAATGATATCTGGGTTCATATTTGAATAATATCTGGGTTCATAATGAGAGATCTAAAGGATCAAAAGCTCTTTTTCGCTTGACCCCTTGTGTTTCCACAGAATCTTGAAATGTGATGCATTCTTGAAGCTTTTTGATAAGTTCAGCAGACGTGTCAGCAGATTTGAATACTTCTCTCATTGAAGGAGATATAAAGGTTTGATATACTCCTATGTCTAAAAATCCAAGCAAACCATGAAAGAAGTTATTAAAGTTCAATAGACCTATGGGCTTGTTATGAAGTTTCAATTCTGCCCATAAAGCAATGGTGAACATTGTCATTAGCGTTCCATACCCGCCTGGAAGAATGATAAAAGCATCGCTATTGTTCACCATATCCATCATACAATCATGAATGGAATGAGTTAACATCATGCTTGTGGAATCCTTGACGACCTTTGTTGAAGCTCTACGAAAAGGTATGATACTTTTCACTTCTATCTCAAAACATTGTCCAGCCATTAAGAGACTATCATAGAAAGTATTGCTAGTCCCTCCATACAGCAAATTGATTTTTTGATTCCCCATCTCTTTGACTAACTGACTTACAATATCAATAGTTTGAGAAAAACTTACCAGTTTAGAACCACCAAGAACACATATGGTTTTGATCGGTTGAAGAAAATTATTACCTTGCGAAGACTCTGAAACATCCATCTATTTATTGATAAACTGAATTTTTCAAAACTTTGTGAGGCATATGATTATGATGAACGACTCGCTATTTAAATAGAAAGTTTTACAAAGCAATAAATATTTTTACTATTTTCTTCTGACAATTGCAACTGACAGATAAGGTGTTGGGTTTTAAATAAATCTTATCTGTCGGCAACTATAAGTTTTTCTAGAAAATTACAGTACAACATACTAAACTGTATTAGTATGATTTTTTCGTACTAACAAGACCAGTTTTACAAACTTGATCTTTTGAAATAATATTTTCGAGACAATAACGTTCTTCTTCATTTTTGAACTGAATCCATAAAGACATAAGCTCACGATGCACGTATCCACTAGGATGTGTCTCAAGAATCTGTTGAATCGTTTGATCCAAAGACTCCTTACTCAATCCATCCTTTATAAACGTTATTTTATCTTCTCGATTTTCGGACACGTACCCCACAGATATACATCGTGTGTCACAAGTCCATCGAGCGCATTTGAAGCATCCACCTAACCTTTTTGCTCTTCGTTTCTTTGCATAAGTACTTTTACCCATACCTGGCATATATTTATATGAATTTGGAAACTCTCCAGACAATCGAACTTGTGCTTCGATCAACCATCTAACATCATTTGGAATACCATTATTCATTAGCATCCTCAATCTTTCTAATCGAGATCGATAAATCCTTTTTATGATATTTTTCGGAAGAAAAGAATAATATTTACGGATATTTGAGAGTGCTAAATCCATTTGTAAAGTCGGACCTTTGTTAAAGAAAATTGAATGAATTACCTGATAATTTATAGAAAAATATGATGCGTATGAGATACGACTCTGGACTTAAACAGTGTTCAAAAGTATGTGTGTCAGACAGCATGATACGATTCTGGATTTAAACAGTGGTTAAAAGATATTATACCAGAGCCTACACTTAAAGTGCATTTATTGCCGCTGAAAGATGATGTGAAATGTTTGTGATAAACATGTCACAACGAATTATTGTGATCACTTTAAAAATGTTTACCGATATTATTGATGATGGTTTGCATGATGAACTTATTCTTTGTGATATGAGATGCTTGTTCCCGATTAGTGAAAAATATTACTAGCTAAATATTTGTGAATCGATATATGATCAATCTGAGTATGAAAGGGGTACGATATATATGGGCCCACTACCCCTCCATGTGTGCTACTAGATATTATGGATCCACTAGATAGCCACATGTGTGTGATTCGTAACCTGAAGTTACGAGATGATTTGATCAAAGAATGTGTATATGACATGTAACCTGAATTTACGAGATGGTTTGATCTAAGGATGACACAAGATGATTATGAAAGAATGAAAATAAGTGTCATATGAAAGTGATGAAGCTAGTAATATACTCACCTGATATGATGAACTCTTGAAAGAAAAATGTGCACACTACAAATGATATGAGTTCAAAGTCCTCCAAATATATGTTGAAATCAAGAACAAAATAGAGACTATATGAATTCCCCTCAAGAAATTCAATACTAAAAATACATATCAGGAATCTGTTAAGATGAGGGAGAGAATCAATGATTGAAATTTGGAAAATGATATATGCATCACAGTGAAAGTGTGCAAATCATAAACTATATGATACTAATGATGATGAATTATATGAAATGATATGATAGTGGAATAATACGCTGGAAGCATTGGTATTGTGCAAATTGAAATTCCCCGAATAAGTGATGAAAGAGGGTATATTTACTATTGTTGAAATCAATTGATAATGAGATATCTCAATATACTACGGGGAATAATGGAAATGAATAAGTGTCGACACAAACAAATGAATAGCGCTATATAAATGATATTGACGAGAATGAAATCAGCTGAAATGTGAATATTGGGAACTATTGGCAGTAACACCATTGAAATCAATTGATGATGAGAATGAGTTTAAGAATAAACATTGCACAAAGCATGATATGGCATATTGTCATGAATACCATCAGTATCTGAAAATCTGAACGAATTTATATGATACTCATACAAATTATGGAAAGATTATTATGGTGAATATATGAAATACGCGTTGTACTCTTTTTCCCTTGGCTAAGGTTTTGTCCCATTGGGTTTTCCTAGCAAGGTTTTTAATGAGGCAACAAGGATAGCGTATTCACATGAATAGTATACTCTTTTTCCTTCATTAGGATTTTGTCCCACTGGGTTTTTCCTAATAAGGTTTCAACGAGGCATATTCATGGTATCATGAGCACTATTGGATAAATGATATGATTCCTCACGGTGATAAGAGAGACTGGAGTAGCTGTACTCTTTTTCCTTCGATCAAGTTTTTTCCCACTGGGTTTTTTTGACAAGGTTTTAACGAGGCAGCACACATGGATACTCCACTAAAGATGATCTATTTGAGGGGGAGCAAAGTTGTGCTTCCACGATGATCAGGTTTTGTCCCACCGAGTTTTCCTGACGAAACAATGTTATGATTTCACGATGATCAGGTTTTATCCCACCGGGTTTTCCTGACATGTTGAAGCAACGGTACCTGATGGCCACAAGAAACACTTGAAGATGTACTGATTGAGCTTTATTCAAATTAGTTAAAATATGTTTAGAAAATAGTCATTCAAGGGGGAGTGTTATGAAATAATAATGTATGTAAATGACTATTTTGCCCTCGATGTATTTGTATTATTACGAGTTGTGCCATCAGAAGTTTCTTATAAATAGGACCTTCAGTTATAATGAAAATCGTACCTAAGAGAATACATTTTCTCTATTCTCTCTCTTTCTCTCTAGTTTTATAACACAAACTTAGTTAAGCTATATTTGAGTATTTTGATTGACCCACCAAGGTGTGAGGCGTAAAAAGCTTAGCAAATTTCAACTNAAAAAAAAAAAAAAGAAAAAAAAGAAAAAAAAAACAATTAGCTTGGGAGATATATAAATTGCCACCAACTGAAACCTAATGAAACATAAAAAAGCTGCAAGCTGTGGGAAATCCAAAAATACTTGTTGGCCTAGACTGAAAAAAACATAGCGTTTAAAATATTGGTGATTTGCGCCTGGACCAAATAAGTAAAAACCAATATCACGAGAAACCACAAAGAAGTAGTATTAAACCATAAAGCACCACACAAACTCAATAACGGAACACACTTAGAGTTGAAACATCCATAACAAACACAAAACAGAAGACACAACAACCTCAGATTGTTCAAATTCAACAGACAGTCACAAACAAACCACTCTTCTCATCAATACTCTTCATCCTCCTCCTCACCCTCAGCACTCTCAGCCCCAACCTCCTCATAGTCCTTCTCAAGGGCCGCCAAATCCTCCCTAGCCTCCGAGAACTCCCCTTCCTCCATGCCCTCCCCCACATACCAGTGCACAAAGGCCCTCTTCGCGTACATCAGGTCAAACTTGTGGTCAATCCTCGAAAACACCTCAGCAACACTAGTCGAGTTGGAGATCATGCACACAGCCCTCTGCACCTTCGCCAGGTCACCACCAGGGACCACAGTTGGGGGCTGGTAATTGATGCCACACTTGAATCCAGTCGGACACCAGTCCACAAACTGGATTGTGCGCTTTGTCTTGATAGTGGCAACAGCTGCATTCACATCCTTGGGGACAACATCACCTCTGTACATGAGGCAGCAAGCCATGTACTTTCCGTGGCGCGGGTCGCACTTGACCATCATGGACGAAGGCTCGAAGGCCGTGTTGGTAATTTCAGCCACGGATAACTGCTCATGGTAGGCTTTTTCGGCCGAGATAACCGGAGCATAAGACGAGAGCATGAAGTGGATCCTTGGGTAAGGGACGAGATTGGTTTGGAATTCATTCACGTCAACATTCAATGCGCCGTCGAATCTCAAGGATGCCGTCAAGGAGGAAATCACCTGGAAATTCGATTAAACATAAATAACTTCAACAATTAACAAATAAAGACACTCCCAAATGCATAATAAAGAAAAAATTATGCTATACCTGAGAAATGAGCCGGTTGAGATTGGTGTATGTGGGCCTCTCGATGTCGAGGGATTTGCGACAAATGTCGTAGATGGCCTCGTTATCGAGAAGGACGGCGACATCAGTGTGCTCGAGCAGAGAGTGGGTGGAAAGAACAGAGTTGTAAGGCTCGACGACTGCAGTCGATACCTGTGGGGAAGGGTAAATGGTGAAGCCCAGCTTTGATTTCTTTCCGTAGTCAACTGAGAGCCTCTCCAAGAGAAGGGAACCGAGCCCAGATCCTGTACCGCCACCAACAGCATGGAAAACCAAGAATCCCTGCAGTCCAGTGCAGTTGTCGGCCAGCTTGCGGATCCTATCAAGGCAGAGATCCACAATCTCTTTGCCGATGGTGTAATGACCTCTGGCAAAGTTGTTGGCAGCATCTTCCTTGCCGCTGATGAGCTGTTCAGGATGGAAAAGCTGACGATATGTGCCCGTGCGCACCTCATCAATCACAGTTGGCTCGAGGTCGACAAACACTGCACGAGGAACGTGTTTGCCAGCACCAGTTTCACTGAAGAAAGTGTTGAAGGCATCATCACCGCCACCAACGGTTGTGTCACTCGGCATCTGTCCATCGGGCTGTAACAAAGGTAGATCTAATGTAAGGGCACTAAACTAAACTAAGTGTACCAATAAAACCGTAACATACATTGCATTACTAGATCTGAATGCATAAGACAATAAAAGGTTCCTTAATTTACTTCCCACGAATTAATAGCGGGAAAAAAGTCACCAGATCTGAATGCATTTTCAATTTACATTTACACCAACAGCAAAAGGACTCATAAAAATAATTCGCTAGATCTAATGAAATCGACAGATAAATGGCAAATGCAGTGAACATTTTCATTTCAGGACGGATTAATAATAATATGGATAGACTGTTTTCAAAACGAATCTCGTACAATGAGAAATCAGATGAATGCAGTATAAATCTTAACAACTAAAAGAATCAAAGCAAAAACCAAGACAGATATGCGAGATTACATATAATAGAACGATATATATTTAGATCTGGCAACAACAAATATAGATCTCAGATAAACATTTAGATCAGATAGGTGAAATGCAAGAAACANAAAAAAACGAGGACGCAAACCTGAATGCCATGCTCGAGGCAGTAGAGCTCCCAGCAAGCATTGCCGACCTGGATTCCGGCCTGTCCGATGTGGATCGAAATGCACTCTCTCATTTTCGCTGAAAATGTTTTGTTTGCCGAAGAATTAGAAAAAGAAAAAGCGAGAGAAGACCAGATGCGTATATGAAGACGCTCTGGAAGAGATGGTTAAGATGGATTAGGGTTTGCGGGGAAGCGAAATTTATAGGCAATAAGTTTGGATGCTTTTGGTTGAAGGCTGATATTTTTCAATAGAGAAATAGCAGTAGTGGTAAATGACAGCTGGCTGGTAATTACCGTTGCCGCTCCGCTTTTTACGAAAAATGGACCAGGTTTTGAAATTTGAATTTGGGTAATGTTTGAGACTTATGTTTGGGGAGTTTTCCGAGTTATTATGAGTTTATGACCAAATTTATACTTATATAAAAGGATCCTATTTACTACATTTAGTATCTAGAAAAGTGACAGCATTAAATGCTATTACTATTTTGGTATTAATATTTTATTTAACTGATTTATTTATCTATATCTATATATATATAAAAAGATACCAGTTTTAAAAAATAGCAGGTCAACGATATGGTCAAATTCTCTTATCATTAATTACTTTCTATTAATTATAATTTATTTATTTATTATTTTCTTAGCAAAAACGGACTAATATTAATTGATTTCCTTAAAATGTGGAAGTTGTTGCTTTATTTTTGTACAGAAAATCGGGCTTCATTATAGAAATTTGTTTAATTACACAATGAATTTGCTATGATATAATTATTTTTTATAGGAACTTTTTTTTTAACAGAAAAATATGACATTTCAATAAAATTTTCGATTTTTTAAGACTGATTGTTATCATGCTATGAAAGTGAACATTCCAATATACCTTAACAAAATATACACGTGTTGTATACATCAGTTAATAGAAATATAGAATCCTCATATTTTTATATATATGTATGTAATTTTTCTATTACCAAATTTAATTGATAGTTGTTGTGTTATGGGTTTTTCATAATTGTTACTTGGTTATTGTGATATTTAGTTTGGCTGGTGTCGTAAAAATTCTAATATATATATATATAATAAGAATAATCATTATCATGCAAATTAGAAAAATATTGATATTAGAAGATATTGAGTTCATGGCTTTCCTTAAATCAAAATTGTTTAATTAGTATACAAAATTAAATTCTAAAAAAATATATGTGTATATTTTGTACATTATTTATACACTATTTAGTTTTAAATTTATTTACATATGTTAAATTGATTACTTATATAAATAATACCAACGTGCATTAAATATATTTCATTACATAAAATAAAAAGAACAAGAAGACGTGCAACTTCTGTAACCTTATAAATAATAATGACATTATATGGCAACAGAGTTTATAGTAAAATAATAATTAACTATTATATAGTGAACAAGAATAAGTAAAATTGTTGTTTTCTCTTATATCAAGGAATAACTATATATAATAAAATTAAATTTATATTAGTATAAATGTGTTAGTGAGATAATATATTAATTATTTTACAAGTTGGCCCTAACATGCTCACGTTTAATGTTATGACTAATAAAACAACGCTGATTAAAAGATGTGAAAAACATATTACAACCCTATTTTTTTAGACTTAACGTTGATTAAAAGAGGTGAAAAATGGATGATAACTCTTTTCGGACTTAAACGGGACATAACGGTGATTAAAAGAGATGAAAAATGGATGATAACCCTTCTCAGACTTAAACGGACAGAGCCTGTGAAAATAATTCATTTAATATCTCTTTCCCGTGCATCGCACGGGGTACGTACTAGTTAGTATGAATCTCGTGGGTAATAGATATTCATTAATATTTATAAATTAAAAATTTTTATCAAATAGTATTTATAAATTAAAATATGACATCAATATATAATACAATTTACTTATATTAATTTATTGAAAATGTTATATAAAGTTTAAATTGTGAAAAATCATATAAAAATGTCAATTAAAAATTAATACACAACCCGTGCGGTGCACATAACTGATAATAAATTGCATTATATTCGTTTCAAAATAAGTGTCATTTCAAAATTTTTATTTAGAAATTCGATTTGACTATAATGTGATTCCATTAAATAGTTATTTTGGTAAAATTTTATCATATATTTAACAACTTATGTGAATATAATAAGTATAAATATAAAATTAATATTATTTCATTAAATAAAATAAATTTATTTTTGCATAAACTATTCAAATCAAAAAAATTAAATAGTTGAGTAACTTATTAAACTATAAATAATTGAGTATTTCGTTTACGTCCAAGTTAATATTCACCTGTAAGTTATTGAGTTTATTAAACTACAAATAATTGACTATTTTGTTTACGTCCAAGTGAATATTGACTCGTACGTGATGAATAATTATTATTTTTATTTTTAAATTTAAATAATTTTTTTTCAATATATTATATACTAAATTTAAACCATACAACTAATAAAGATAAAAGCAGCAAGATTTGTCAATATATTATATACTAAATTTAAATCACGCAACTAATAAAGGTAATAAACGCAATATTTGACCAAAATAATTCTGTACATTAATTACATTTAATTTAGACGGGATTTTTCAAATTTTGGCCAAAAATATTATCCACTTTAGTAAAGCTAAAATTTTAGGCGGGAAACCAAATATTTCTTTTTACTGATTTTTAGTTAATATTTCAAGTAAATATCATTGTCTCTTTATATATTAATAGATAGATATATTAAAAGCTTCAAATTCCCTTGTTGAAGCGTAAAACGATTGTGATATATTGAGTATTAAATAATAAATTTAAATTTAAAATATAAAAAAAAAAGAGTACGTTATATTTTAAAATCTTAAATCATTTTTAAATGTATTATTAATTTTATTTAAAACGATATTCATCACCTATAGAACTCATTCATAAATGTATATTTAATTATTTTTTATTTTATATATTGAAAATTGATTATTGTTAAGTATGATTAATATGATATTCCATACATGAAAATTTATTAAAAAATAAAAGTTGGTAAGCTTTAAAATATTTTAATTATTTAAACTAATTAATTATTTTATAGCGTGTCCAAGCCGACCCTATTTCATGTATTAGGCTATTAGCACAAAATCCTTGCTCCAACGTTGTACCAAATTTATACTCCAAAATAAAGTTCTCTATGGTGTGGCGCGACATTGTGCAATTTGTACAAAAGTTTTTNACATCTAATAATTTATATAAATAATAGTTTTTCAATTTTATTTTTTTTTATCTGAATGTAGTTTTTTGTTCTTTTTTTTCCCTTTAGGTAAATTTTTTTTGTTAAACTAGCAGAAAATTGTATTAATCATTATTAAATTTGTATCTATATTTATATCTATGTCTATATCTATATCTATATCTATATCTATATAAAAAAGTTGTTGAAAAAATACATTTTAGTTGAACTAAAAAATAAAAAGTTTGACTTACTATTAACGGTAATTTCAAAAAATACACATGTGAACCTTTAAGAATCAAATTTAATCTTATTGTTAGACAATTTGGTCGGATTTTCTTTCCAACTATTTAAGAAACAAATACAAATTAGCCGAATTTTCTTAAACTAGCACATAGCTCGTGCGATGCACGGGTCAATAACGATATATCGTATAAATTATAGCAATAAAAGAATTTGATTAGTATAAGAATAGTTTTTGAATATTAATATCATTTTTTAGAGTTTTTATGATGTATAATAGTGTAATATATGATATGTATGTTTATTTCACTCATCACACAATAATTGTCCTTTTAAAGTTCATATAAATAATTAAATAACATGAATAATTAACATATTCAAACTTTATCAATATATAACTAGTGCGCATCTCATGCGATGCACAGACAAGCTTGTTACTTAAAACCTTTTTTCAAAATTTTATTCTAAATATGATTATTTATATTTAATATCTCATTATTGCAAAAAAATAAATAGAAAATATTAAAAAATCGAAAATATTAAAATATCATATATTATTTATTTGAATAGAATGGTCTTCACAACCGAACCAATAACATCTAACATATGATATATGATAAAATTAATTATATGAGATGAATAATGACGAATATATATTTAAAAGTGTAAAGTCGTATTATTTACGTGTAATTGTTGTATTCAACATCGTTAATTGGTTTAGTTTTATTTGGATGGACAACATATTATAGAATTATTATATACCAAGCATTAAATACAGAATCCACATATGTGAAATTCTTATGAGAATATATAGTTGTTAGTCAGATAAATAGGGTGTATGAAGAAGTTGGTACTCCGATATATTGATAAATAATATTTATAAATTAAAAATATGGGGTCGATATGTAATATAATATGTTAATTTGTTGAAAATATCTTATGAAAATTTACTTCATAAAAACGCATAAAACATGTCTATATAAAATATTAAAAGCATAAAAAATGTTATATAACATGTGTAAAAATATGTATATTATTATATAACATGTGCAAAATTTCTAAAATGTTATATATTATCTATATATATATAAAGGTTTGATTATTTTTTAAAAGTAACTATTTCCCTAAAAAAAAAATCTATTTAGTATTTCAGGAAATTAATTTAATAATTTGTGGTATATTTTAAATAATCACTTATGAAAATTACGGCTCATTATTTAAGGAAGTAATTAAGCCATATTTTAAAATACATTGATTACTCAAATCATGCGAATTAATCAATAAATGGTATAAAGTGTTTAAGGAAGTAATTAAGTCATATTTTAAGATACCTTGATTACTCAAATCATGTGAATTAATTAATATATGGTATAAAGTGGACGAATTTATTTTTGGTATTGATGATTATTTCTATGAGAAATAAACTTATCAATATATGGTATAAAGTGAGCAAATTTACTTAGGTTATGTGATGACTGTTTTTTTAGCAGGAAATTTCAAATTTGTTGAAAACTTAATCAATATACGGTGTACTTTTTCTGTAATGTGCAGGCCAATATATTGGTTTTTAGGCGTGGGTTTCAATTTTTATTTCAATTGTTCGTATGAAATTAGAATAATAAAATTATTGTAACTCCCACAAAATAATATGAACAGATATTTTCATATAATGTGCGTGCATAGATGTTTTTTAGAAAAAAATTCTGGTAAATTTTTTTTGTATAATTAGTGGGCCTCGATTTAATCAATTTTTTTTACGGCATTTCAAATAATTTTTGTATGAAATGCACTGTTCAATTTTTTTTTTTTTTTTACTACTTAAATTTTTTGATTGGAATATTTTATAAAAAATAAATTTATTTTAATTAATGAGACCATATAAGTTTTATATTTATACTTATTATTCACATAGGTCTTTAAATATATGATAAAATTTTACCAAAATAGTTATTTTATGGAATCACGTTATAGTCAAATCGAATTTTTTACTATAAATTTTAGAATGACACATATTTTGAAACGAATATAATGTAATTTATTATCAGTTATGTACAACGCACGGGTTGTGTACTAATTTTAAATAGATATTTTTATGTAATTTTGCACAATTTAAAATTTATAAAACATTTTCAATAAATTAATATAGGTACATTGTATTACATATTGATTCTATGTTTTTCATTTATAAATATTATTTAATGAGAATTTTTAATTTATAAATATTAATGAATATCTCATACCCGTACATCGCACGGGATTTGTTCTAGTTTTTAAAATAAGTGTGAAATCACCTAACTTTTTCAGAACTATTTTTAGAAAGAACATATCTAAAAAATAAATAAATATTAACCAACATTAATTTATGATATTCGATATTTTTAAATTACTAAATTTATTTTAGTACGTGATGTTGGACTCTGTTATTGGATATGTTCAATCTACTTAATTTTGAGTTATATAAAAAAATTCAATATTTCAAAAAAATATGTTGAAAATATATTAAAATAAAAAAATTGTACACATATCTTTAAAATCTGCCAACCAAAAAATATGCTCAATTATTCCATGATTTCCTCAAATTAGTTTTTCTCAATAATCAAAACTACAACTTATAATGTGTATCTTTCTTTTTTTTATCCAACATCAAATATCATTAAACATAGATTACATTACAAATTTCAAGATAAACCTAAAATCTTCCTTGGGGATCACTACCTATGTCCCCTAATCGACCACATCGGTCCAAACAATATCATAAGCTTAAGAAGAAATAACAAGGTTCAACAATGATCCCAACAACACAATATCTTTCACAATAACAGACAAATTAACCTGACAATCAGAGTTACACTTCAAAAGATCCACCATCTTCGTGTCCTGGAAGCACACCTACACTCTATTCCATCCTCCAGTCATCCATGTTTCCAGCCATTCCCTTAGTCCCAGCAACATGTATTCTCCAGATGTCTTGGTTTGATCAGCTTTAATACCCCAAGTTGCTATCACTACATTCTGAGCATAAGCCTTTCCTTGAGCCAACCAAGTCTTAGGTTCTGAATCCATAGCACTGGCTTCAACATTCTGCTGCCCTACTCCTAAATTCAGCCTAAGTCCTTGTTGCTCCACATTACCTTCTTCCACTGTGCTGGACATGTCTTTGATCTCTTCTATTCCAACCATTCCCCTTAAGCTCTTTGGACCAGGTTCCATTCATCCATTCTTTCTCCTCTAAACACACAGTTGCTCCTAGTGGTCCATAACCACCATAACAGATATGCAGACAAACTTACTCTGTCCACATAATTATGGGCCCTGTCATATGAGATAGATCTCTCCACCATTCCTGAAAACTGATCTGTCTATTGTGAATATTAGTCCATGAAAGCCCAGCAATTTTCCAAACTTTTTCTGCCCTGTCACAAGTGAAAAATAAGTGCTCTCTGGTTTCTACTTCAACTCCACACCAGCAACAGACATCATCCACCTCCAACTCCTTTTTATTCAGTTCTGCATTTGTTCCAAGATAGTTGAACCAGCACCTCCATAAAAAGAATTTCAGCTTGTGCTTAACAGGTAAAGCCCAGAGCTTCCACATCAACTGATTACTGCAATTTGAAGAGCTAGTTGCCTGCTCATATGTTCTGTTCACTCTGTTGCTAAAGATCAGGTTATAAGCACTTTTCACTTAGAATTTTCCTCTTTTATCTGCTGCCCATACTAACTTGTCCTTCACACCCCAATGACTGGTATGTATATTGAGGATATTTTCAGCATCATCAGGAGTGAAGGTCTGTCTGATCAAGTCCTCATCCCAACACTTAGTACCTGGTGCCTTGTCAGGGTTTGACTTTTAAAGTGAAGTTTGACTTCTCGCCCGAGGTGAAACTTCTGAGCTCAAGCCGCTTTCCGACCAATCTGTCATTTCTTACGCCTTTCCTCTTCTGTCTTGGCTTTTATCCGACGCGTGCTACCAGCCATTCTCTGATCCAGGAATGGGAAATTGCCTCCATGTCAAAAATAGCTTGCTTAATCTCATCCTTCTCCATTGGTTTACATAATTTCTGGTTTAATTCATCAGTGATTGATACAGGTATTCCTCTAAGGATATCAATGTTAACCCCTGCATAATCTGACTGGTATGTTGATACCCAATTTAGCCTCGATTAATAAAAATGCTACACGTGGATATATAGTAAATAAATATAAATATAGCAGGTTCTCTAAGCTGATTATCAATATCGACAGAGTTCCACAGCACCTAGATCATCCACGTTCGAGCCGAGCATAATTAATATCGTCAGCCCGACCTGAATATCGAGAAGATCTATCTCCGGCAGACACAATAATTGCCGATAAAGTAGACGTCAATCGAAGCCGTCAAGTGTCACGATTAGGCCCCACAATGTCATCTCACATTAAATACTAATGTTCTTATTTATCTATTTTTAATAGGCCCACTTGTAAAAAAAAAGGGGTCATGTATATGTATAGGATGAGAGAGAGAATAAAAGGGGGGGCCTATTCACTATTCATGGTCTTCCAACACCAAAAAAACAAGAAAAAGAGAAGAACATTTCTCTCTCAAAAATCAATGAAAATATTAATCGATCCAACACCGATTATTTACAAAACATGGGTGTATTTTTACGTTGATACAATTTCGTATATCACTATTTTGGCGCTAGAAGGAGGGCTTCGTAATTTACTTGGAGTTAATTTTCGCCAGAAAACTGCCGCATCTCCACCGAAAAATCATCTCCTCCAAGCTTATCCTTAATAACTACAATTTGTTCTAACTCTCTGTATTATTTTTACCCATCCTTCCTATCATGTACAAAAAAAAAAAGTAAAGATCTACAAGTTCAATTGTGCGAGTTCGGGGATGTGATGCGCTTTTAAGCCTATTTTAATACATACATTTGCATTCTGGGATTTGGAATTGTTAAAAGAAAATAAAAAATGAGTTCATCAATATTTGGAAACTCAAAAAATGGCAAGCGAATCAGAAACCAGATATCCAAACCACAGCACATAGCAAGAGAATTAGTCTCGCAAGACGATCCGCCCCATCTGAGTGCACCACCGCCAGATCCGTGAGTCGATTCCCCCGCCTTCACGTATTCACTGGATTTTTCGCCTAATCCATCGTGTCCGCCTGGACTGCCGCCGGACCCGCCCCGTTGACCTCATCTCATCATGCGGATGGCAGATCGAGCTCGAAAGGATCAACCGCATCATCATCATCTCCGGTCTCATAACCACCGGGAATTACCATAAACTAAGCCGACCTTTCCTACGTCGGGTTCATGCCTCTGTATCACAACTATCGGGTTTGACCTCTTTAACGCCAAGCCCGACTTCACAACAAAACCGACTTCACCATCCATGGGGCCGACCTCAAAGTCGTAGAGACCAATCCCACAGACGGGAAAATCTTGTCAACGACCTAGTCACTACCGTCTACCACTCCGACCCCCGAAATCCCAGCTAGGTTCTCCAGACCCGACCTAGCCATCGTCGATCTCGAAACCCAACCCATCGACTCCAGACTTCACCTCGGTCAGCTCCAAAACTGAAGTCCAGGACCACCTGAAGCCCCGAAACTGCTCGATGCTTCACAACTATATGTCGGCCGACTTCCAAATCGGCGACCTTGTCTCTAATCTCTAACCCTGCCATCTCCGCTTCCTAATCGCTGAACCGAGCCTCTTTACCGACGTCACTTCTCGGTCATCGGGTCTTCGGGACCAAGCCCTACACAACCGACCCCAGTTTAAGGTCGATACAAGCTCTGGTCTCCAAAATTGTAGTTGGGCTGACCTCTAACTCTCGCCCGCCGGCTACCACCGATTTCACAACCGAGTCCCCGATCTCACGAGCGCCACGATGTCTGACCTTGCTTTGCCTAAACCTCGAAACTCGACCTCGGTCGTCGGGGCTGAGCCCTTCACAACTGGATCGACTAATTAGAGGCCTGGCCCCTCCCAGTCGGGCCGACCCCGACGTTGCCAATCAGCCGCCGAGCATTTCCATTCCCGAAATCCGAACTAGGTTGTCCTCACAATTCCCGACATCATGACAACCGACCTCACCGTCGGGGCCCGACCTCACTACAAGCAGGCCCCAATTCACCGCCGAGGTCCGATCTCTCCATTACACCCGAAGTCCGACCTCAATTGAAAATACGGTCCATCGCTTCTCAGCCGCGACCCTATCAATCGTCTATACTTGCGTAGGGATAGAGAGAGCACAATTCCTTTTATATATTTTACTTCTGAAGTGGGAATTACTTTGGGCCTACTAGTAGAAATTAATTCGGGCCTAGTAATGTATGTGTAGGCTTATAATATTATCTAGAAAATGTAAAGGTATGGGGCACTAAAAGACTTTGTAATAGATAGAATTAGGCCAGAGCAAACGATAAAAATCTCGAAGCTAAGGAACTCGGTGGAGACGTGAAAAATGAAAGAGGAGCCGACCTCTCCGAACGATGAAATGCTTAGGCTACACTCCGCTCCGGCTCGAGGTAATCCTACTCGCAATTTCATTATAAATACATACAAATATATATATATATATATATACACACATTAAAAATAAATACATACGTATACAAAAAAAGACGACCACTCGTGCCAAAAAGACGGCTACCATACCGCGTTCTGCAAAAACTGGCCTTCGTGCCACTAGTCGGCGTAAAAAACCGACGTTCTGAAAAAACCGGCCTCCGTGCCACTAGTCGGCTCCAACGCCGACGTTATGCTAAAACCGGCCATCGCGCCACAAGTCGGCTCCAATGCTGACGTTCTGCAAAAATCGGCCCTCATGCCACAAGTTGGTTACCACGCTGCATTCTGCAAAAACGGCCACTCGTGCAACCGTTCGCCGACGGATCCCCAAATTGCAACCAGGCCGACCACTCCGCCGTTCTATTCGATCCATCGGTCCAACATCAAACCACCAACCTCATAATCGAAGGGCCGACTCATTGGCTGACCTCACAACGGTTGACTACCAAATCTCTTGACGGAGAACCAACCTCAAAGATTACTGAGCCGCATGATCACGATTGAACCCAAAATTGTGGCTTAATCATGGACGGTCGTGGCTGATCACCGCCAAAAAATCGGCCGACCACCCTAGACAGGCCGACTTCACCGCCCGATAAAACCTCAACATTTGTTCGGCTATTCAAAATGGGGACAACTTCACAGTCGAGCTTAGATTTTCAACCGGGGCCCGACCTCGCGGCTAGATAAGCAAAATCCGACACCACGAATCGCCCAATCAACCGGAGCGTCTGAGTCGTCGCATTGGCACCCTCATCCGGCCATTTCCTGAGCATTTTACAGACTTCTTTCTGGGCCGATTTATTATTATCCCACCGAGGAGTCCCGTCTCATCCACTCTGCACTGGTTTATCATTCACTCGTCGCGGGACCAGCTCTCCTGGATCGAGTTATTATTCGTTCGCACACAAGCCCAGTTCTACTAGATCGGTTCATTATTCCCTCGCCTCCGACCTCACTTATCTACGTCGGGGCCGGAATCACTTATCTATGACGGGGCCGAGATCATTTATCAATGATGGGGCCGAGATCATTTATCAATGATGGGGCCGAGATCATTTATCAATGTTGGGGCCTAGATCATTTATCAATACCGGGGCCGAATTCATTTATCTACGCCAGAGCCAAAGTCACTTATCTATGCTGGGAGCTAGAACGACTTATTCATTCACGCGCGCGACCAGTCGTTTGTTTGCGACGTCTGTATTTCCTCGCCGTTGAGTTTCAACTCCGGTTGAGCCAACGTCTATATTTTCTCGCCGTTGAGTTTCGACTCCGGCTGAGTCGATGTCTATATTTTCTCGCCGTTGAGCCCGACTCCAGCTGAGTCGACGTCTATATGTTTAGGGGGCTTACTTGCTTGTTTTTTAGTACAAGTAGCTACGGGGTTCGCTATGACTTTTGACTATCGTCCGACCGTTACTGAAGCTTTTGCCTCTGTTCAATACATAATGACGGAAGCTCACTTTGGTTGGTTAATCTGATCAGTTCATCGTTGGTCGGCAAGTATGATGGTTTTCTCGCCGTAGAGCTTCCGCTTCGGCTGAGTTGACGTCCATATTCTCTCACCGTAGAGCACGACTCCGGATGAGTTGACGTCCATATTTTCTCGCCGTAGAGCTTCTGCTCCTGTTGAGTTGACGTCCATATTCCCTCGTCGTAGAGCCTCCGCTCTGGCTGAGTTGACGTCTATATTTCCTCGCCGTTGAGCCTGACTCCGGCTGAGTTGATGTCCATATTTCCTCGCTGTGGAACCTTTGCTCCAGCTGAGATGACGTATATATTTTCCTCGCCATGGAGCTTACGCTCCGGCTGAGACGACGTGCCCAATTCCTACACCAAATCCTGAAGTTGATTTGGTACGACAAATGTGCATTACACCAAATCCTGAAGTTGATTTGGTACGGCAAATACCTATTACGCCAAATCCTGAAGTTGATTTGGCATGATCAATATTCTGGCAAGGCACAACACCTACCGGTAGACAAGAATGGCAGTCGTAACTGTCGACAGAAAGTCAGACTGAACGAAATGTTGAGGTAACATCATTTACTGCACGTGCTCATCATATATTTACACGTTCATACATACACTCACCACAACGTGCATCATACACGCATCTTGCCATCAATAAACAAGCCAAACACTTGAAAGTGATTGGTTCGGCCAATGGCGCCCAAAAAATTAACCAAACCCCTATAGTGGTTTGGGTCGGCCGAAATGCCCTAAAACTAAAAAGGCCAAACAGAGCCAACCATAAAAATGAATATAAAAAGAGTCGTTGCAAAATCATCGCACGCACTTCGAATCATGAAAAATATTCATAAGGGCCCGAGTGCCCTACGTATCAATCGACCGAGCCATTAAGGCTATTATCCGAAATTCGGCTCTTTCAACGAGCATCATACCAAATATCGGACACCGCGTCATTCGACCAAGTAATAACTAAATAAAGATGAGACCAAAGACCGGATACCAAATTATCCGACCAGGTCCACATGACGTAGAAAAACGATCAACGGAAATAAAAAATCGCGCCATCTCAATTCGATAAAATTGCGAATACGATAATACGGTCAGCTTAAAATCTCCAAACGAATCACATCGGCAAGCATCTTCGCGCATATCAATTACAATTGAAGGGGCCAGAGTGCCCATACGATTCAGTACCATTATCATCATTACAAGAGCGAATCAATCAAACGCTTCACATTGCACGTAAAACGTAAAAATGGGTATCAAATTACCCGACTAGGCCTCTTAGGCCCCATTCAATAGCAATTCCAAAGAATTGTCCATCCATTTCACCGACTCAGCTCATCAAAGAGCATAAAATGCAAATAACATACAAAACGTCAGGCCAAAGCCGGAGAATAATTAACAAAATATCCACGGGTCCCAAAGCACCCAGGCACCTTCGATAAAGTATTTATCATAGCGTAAAGTGCCCCAAGCTCGAAAAAATCATAAGCGAAAGTCCACGAAATTGACAGTAAACGCGACTTCAGAACAATTCTGTTCAGAACATGTCCTAAAATCGGGGGTCAAATGTTGATACCCAATTTAGCCTCGATTAATAAAAATGCTACACGTGGATCTATAGTAAATAAATATAAATATAGCAGGTTCTCTGAGCTGATTATCAATATCGACTGAGTTCCAATGCGCCCAGATCATCCACGTTCGAGCCGAGCATAATTAATATTGTCAGCCCGACCCGATATCGAGAAGATCCGTCTTTGGCCGACAAAATAATTGCCGATAAAGTAGACGTCAATCAAAGCCGTCAAGTGTCACGATCGGGCCCCACAATGTCATCTCACATTAAATACTAATGTTCCCTATTTATCTATTTTTTAATAGGCCCACTTGTAAAGAAAAAGGGTCATGTATATGTATAGGATGAGAGAGAGAATAAAAGAGGGGACCTATTGACCGCGCGTCGCAACGCGGCAAATTTAAATTTATAATTATTTTCCTCGACTAACCTCTACTAACTAGTAGTAGTGGCGAGTAAGGGTCGATCCCACGAGGAGCAGGAATTAAATTATGACAATCTCGTATTAATTGAATTAAACTAGAAAAGCAATAAAAGATGGGGGGGGTTGGTTTTATAAAAATAAAAATAAAAATAAGAAAATAAAATAAGAGAAGTCCAGTTTTCGGTTCAGTTATCACCCAATCTAAATTTACCGTTAATTAATTTCGACGCTTTCTTTAAATCACTAATGAATTACCGACCCTAGCTAACAACAAGCTCTGTTAACCGAATTTTCCCTTACAGAATATTTAATCAAAATAAGCTCTTCGACTAAACCTAACTAGTGGACAACCTAGAATAAGCTCTCTAGATTTAATACACTAGCAGCATTAATTTATAGGAAAATAGATCAGTCTAAGCAATGGACGCAAAAGCTCGGACCATTTAACTTATGTTCACGCTACCCTAGAGATGCACGACCCCTAGTTTACTACTAACGAAACGAGAACAATAACAATTACGGATTAAAGCCTCGAATCTAGCAGTTAAATTAAGAATATTCAATCTAGCTGGCCAAACTAAATCAAACACCATAATTCATAAACGTTAAACATAGATAACATAAATCAACTCATCAACAAATTAAATACGGCGTCTCGATTAGCTAACGATAAATAAAAATCCTTCAATCCATAGACAAATCAAAGTTAGGGTCCAAACATCCCCTAAAACTGGATAAAAATATTAACCTAGCATACTAATAAAAATAAATATACATAAATAAAAGAGAGAATAAAATATCTCCCTCGTGCGGGTGCGGCTTCCCTCCGCGTGTGTAGTCTCTTTCACAGTTTGTGTGTAGTGTATTCTTCCCGCTGCTCTATTTCTTTTCTCCTCTGCTCGCCATTGTTCTCTCGCCAAAATAATTCTTTTTTTTTTCCTCCAAAATAAATCCTCCTCCAATAAAAATGTGACTCCCCTTTGCGTAAAATACTCCCAGCCAAACTCAAGTCTCCAAAATAATTAAAACTCCAATGTATGTTACGTGGCATCTAACTCATGTCCAAGCTCACCCAAATCAGCCATTATGATTTAATTTCCTCA